AAGTTTAGTAAAATCAATAATCTTTATGAATATATATATAACGAAGTCAAGATAAGAGGTACAGGAATTTTCTATTCTAACGTTTTTAAGGTCATCTAGCTAGAAAACGAAACACTCCTCAAATGAGATCCCAAGACTCATCTATTTTTTGGCTGGCAAATATTTGTACGCTGATCAAAATTAAGGGCTCAATTCATAAGTTTAAAGGTAAAAATTAATTCGTAGTATCGTCTTATAAAAACAGATGTGTATCGGAAGGAATTCAATTTTACTGTTTTCTTAGTGTTATTTTATAGGAGTATGAGCATGAGAGTAAAGTTATTCATTTAATAATATTGGAGATATGAAAAAAGCAAACTATATATATAAAATAAATTTGGAATTAAGTGTGAGATTTATGCATAAAGAATCATATCAATTGTTGGGAGAAATTTGAGTACCCCATTAAATGTTGATGTTTCAATCTTCTAGGAATTTTTTTTTATCTTTTTATTTTTTATGGAAGATAATGCTCAATTTTAAGTGTGTGAAAAGATTGTTTGAGTGCTTTTTTAGTGCTACTTGATAATTAATATCCTATCTCAATTTTGCTTTGTGCACCACTTCTTTTCTGAGAAGTGTAGATTGAATTGCGTGATATTTTTTTTTTCAAAAAAAAAAATGGGATTTAATTTCTTTCTTTTATTCTTTTTAGGAGTAGTAAGGGAGAAATATAAGGAATATCAGATTGACTTATCTTATACTAGCATATTTAGGTTCCATCTTGAGTAATACTATTATGAGTGTGTAAGTATTAAATAAAATAAGAAATTTTTCGGAACTAGGTTCAGGATAGTGAATATACATATAGTTTGTTCTTATTTATAGTTCGTGATACTTTGTCTATCTTGAGAGCACAATTGGTTCAATTTGGTTGAGACTTTTCCTATAAGAGCATCTTAATAATAAGTGTTGCTCTGTTTAAAATATGATAATTGATTTTTTTTTTCATATGTATTGTGAATTTTAATCTACTTAGATATTATTATGAGTAGTTAGCCCTTTGAACTTATAACTTTTCATTTGGAAGACATATTACTGTCTTGGCCTATTTGTTAAATTCTTAATTTTTACACCCCGCTTTTTCGAGTATTGTAGCTTGGATTGTGTTATAACTGCTAAATATAAACAAAAGAGATGGTCGAGTATAATGATGATCAACGATAGTTGCTACGTGATGACAAGACCCTCTTTAAATTATCGTGACGTGAAAAAGAATTGCTTAAATTTATTTTTTTTATAAAAAAATGATGATTGAAACGTTCCTCGTATGATGAGAATTACTTGCGAAAATAATTGAAGAGATAGATTAGAATAAGAAGAATAAAATAGTGGGGGATGAAGTGTAGAAAGAGCAAAGTGCTTAGAGAGTATAAATCATATTCTATAGTTGTCCCATTCATCCCCTAGCCAACATTATAACTTGTTAAAATCCTATTTATTCTATTTCGAGGTAGAGATTTATATAGTTGACAAACCTATGATTCTTTGTGAATGCAACAAGTTTATATTTGATGTGAGTCCTTAGATTACATTAGTTTTTTGTGTTTTTTTTAAATTCGAGTGTATAGACTACTTTGTTTGAATACAATTATTTCAATGATAGATAAGTACTGATATTGACTTTCTTTGACAGAACATGCTAACAAGCTTAAATTTGAGGAGTCAGAGTACGTCGGTCAAGTCAGGAACCAAAATACCATTGATTATCATTTGAGTAGTTATATTGTTGTGTTCTTAATATCATTTTTTTTTATATGGAGGAATAAAACAATGTAAAGATGAAAAATCTTGAAACAAAATTGAAAAAAATGGGGGGAAATGAAAGAAAGAGAAAATAATATTAGGGGTGTACATGATCGGATTAGTTCGAATTTTCAAATATTAAATTAAATTATTCGTGTAAAAATTTTAAATTTATAAACCAAATAAAACTAATAAAATACGATTTTTTTCAAGTTTTTTTCAACCTCGGGTTAGCTCGGATTTTTCAAATACCAAATCAAACCATTGTGTTGAATTTTTAAATTTATAAATCAAATCAAACTAATAAACTTCAGATTTTTTTATTTTTCGGTAATATTTGCATATAAACATACAATTAAGCTCCAAATATTTCTTTAGTTCAACCAAGATACAATTATCTTAAGTGTTTTCTTAAAAAAATAACACAAAATATGGATGAGTATTGATGACACAAAAATATTTAATAAAAATAATAAAGTCATCATATAAAATAAATATTATAAAGTCGAAAAATTTTATTATGAATGAGACACAACTTGCACTAATTGTATGAGGGGGTATTTTATTATTATTAAATTTGAACTCATGGGACCTACACTTTGATTTTTCCTCTTTACCTCTTATTTCTCATTCCTCTTTTTCCATTTCCTTTTTTTTTTCCTTTCAAATTTATTTTGAATTGTATTGTATTAGAGATCCATCTTACTAAATTGGTCTTATTAATAACATTTTAAAAAATAATGTTAATTATTAGTATTTTACGTAGTTATGACAAAAATTTATTTTTTAAAAAGTAATTTTTGTTAAAAAA